GGGCTCACCTTGGCCAAGGCGACGTAGGGGAACTTGTCCATCTCCAGCAGGCTCTCCTCGCCCTTGCGGTTCTGCAGTTGCCCTTTGAGGATGCGGGCGGCCGTGACGGTGGAGACGCCCATGCCTGCCGGGACACCCCTCAGCTCTCCGCCGAGCCCCGCGCGCACCCGCTTCGTCCCAGCACCCCATTTATCACAACCCCCAGTTCATCCCAGCACTCACTTTATTGCAAACCCCAGTTTATCCCAGCACCCAGTTCATCCCAGCACCCTGTTTACTGCAAACCCACTTCTTCATCCCAGCACCCGCTTCATCCCAGCACCCGATTTATCACAACCCCCAGTTCATCCCAGCACTCACTTTATTGCAAACCCCAGTTTATCCCAGCACCCAGTTCATCCCAGCACCCAGTTTACTGCAAACCCACTTCTTCATCCCAGCACCCACTTCATCCCAGCACCCACTTTATTGTAACCCCCAGTTCATCCCAGCACCCTGTTTACTGCAAACCCACTTCATCCCAGCACCCGCTTCATCCCAGCACCCGATTTATCACAACCCCCAGCACCCACTTCATCCCACTTTATTGCAAACCCCAGTTTATCCCAGCACCCACTTCATCCCAGCACCCGATTTATCACAACCCCCAGTTCATCCCAGCACCCAATTTACTGCAAACCCACTTCATCCCAGCACCCGATTTATCACAACCCCCAGTTTATCCCAGCACCCACTTCATCCCAGCACCCAGTTTACTGCCAACCCACTTCTTCATCCCAGCACCCACTTCATCCCAGCACTCGATTTATCACAACCCCCAGTTTATCCCAGCACCCAGTTTCTTGCAAACCCACTTTATCCCAGCACCCACTTTATTGCAACCCCCAGTTCATCCCAGCACCCAGTTTATTGCAACCCCCAATTTATTGCAGCACCCACTATATCGCACACTGTTGCAGCACCCAATTTATCACAGCACCCAGTTTATGGTTAACACTGGTTATCCCAGCACCCAGTTCATCCCAGCACCCGGTTTACTGCAAACCCACTTCATCCCAGCACCTGATTTATTGCAACCCCCAGTTCATCCCAGCACCCGTTCATCCCAGCATCTGATCTATTGCAACCCCCGATTTATCGCAGCACCCACTGCATCGCACACTGTTGCAGCACCCAGTTTATCCCAGCACCCAGGTTATGGCAAACAATGGTTTTCCCAGCACCCACTTCATCCCAGCACCCGGTTTATCACAACCCCCAGTTTATCCCAGCACCCAGTTTATTGCAACCCCCAATTTATTGCAGCACCCACTATATCGCACACTGTTGCAGCACCCAATTTATCACAGCACCCAGTTTATGGTTAACACTGGTTATCCCAGCACCCAGTTCATCCCAGCACCCGGTTTACTGCAAACCCACTTCATCCCAGCACCTGATTTATTGCAACCCCCAGTTCATCCCAGCACCCGTTCATCCCAGCATCTGATCTATTGCAACCCCCGATTTATCGCAGCACCCACTGCATCGCACACTGTTGCAGCACCCAGTTTATCCCAGCACCCAGGTTATGGCAAACAATGGTTTTCCCAGCACCCACTTCATCCCAGCACCCAGTTTACTGCCAACCCACTTCTTCATCCCAGCACCCACTTCATCCCAGCACTCGATTTATCACAACCCCCAGTTTATCCCAGCACCCAGTTTCTTGCAAACCCACTTTATCCCAGCACCCACTTTATTGCAACCCCCAGTTCATCCCAGCACCCACTTTATTGCAAACCCCAGTTTATCCCACCACCCAGTTCATCCCAGCACCCAATTTACTGCAAACCCACTTCATCCCAGCACCCGATTTATCACAACCCCCAGTTTATCCCAGCACCCACTTCATCCCAGCACCCAGTTTACTGCCAACCCACTTCTTCATCCCAGCACCCACTTCATCCCAGCACTCGATTTATCACAACCCCCAGTTTATCCCAGCACCCAGTTTCTTGCAAACCCACTTTATCCCAGCACCCACTTTATTGCAACCCCCAGTTCATCCCAGCACCCAGTTTA